GGGTCCTCACTGCTTTGCGATTCATCGCAGCCGCCATGTTTACTTCGGTTTCGAATTGGAGACGAATAGACCGGTGCGAAGATATCTCGGCCGCGCTTTTCCGAATACACCGACGCATCGCCCTTGATTTTGGTTGCATTTCGATGATTAACAGCAACGCTAGCTGTCGCCGGAGAAGTAAACTTCAACGTCGGAGGGGACCAGGTAGAGGTATCCGTCTGAAGCAGTGGTTCATAAAAAAACAGTATTGCTCTAGCTGGAAAAACCAGGTGGTGTATAATCTGTGTTGGATCATTCTTATCCCGTATTGGTTGAAGGCCAGATAATCAAGACTGTCGGGTTATCAAGGTCTCAGGCTCTGGTAGATGGAGCCTTGTATGCATCTCTTACGAGAACTTTGGCGACCCCGTGTAGCATGCTGACTACTGTTTAGTTACGAACCTCGGAGTCTCTTGCTTGTTAAGTCGGAGGTCTCAGATACGTCAGATTCATCGGTAATAGCCTGAGGCAACTGTAAGTATGCTACTACGTGAGTAGTTCGGGCATTTGTTCGAGAGGCCAGGCACCTCATCAGTCATGTCATACCCCCTGGTAACCACCTTCCCTTTTACGGCAAGCTGTGTTACCTTAACGGGTACAGCCGATGAAAGGTGACATCATCGAACCTTCGACCAATTTGTGAATTTCTCCTGTTGTTTTGGTGCGATCCAATTGTGGTGGGATTACAGTAGGCTCAATGCGATCAGAAAGGCGTCCTTTCGACAATGCTTTCAACGTGCTGGAAGAACCCAAGTGTTTCTTAATGGTTGTACCAGATCCCCATCGCACCCGGTGACAAGTAGAGCACCGCATTTTGTACACCAGGCGATTCAACTTAATCAAGTGCTTTTTGGATGTTCCGGCGACGTTTTAGTGGCTGACGAATCGGCTAATGGCCAAGAAGGTATGGCCCTGGTCTGCAGAGATAACGTTATCGTTTTCTCTCGGAAGTTCGAGGAGTATCCGAAGTTCCTCGCAGTGTGATCGTCAATGCCACCGGTTTACATGTGGCATTGACGATGCACCTAGGTGCTCGTTCATAGTTTGCTCGCTGGAAGTATTTCCTGATCTAATGGTTGTGGCGATAGGGTCACCTACCAATGTTCGTCGGTTATGGAGCTTTTTCAGGTCGGAGTCCCAACTACTGCTGGTTCGCGTAGCGCGTGGGAGCTCCTCTCGGTTGAAGAAGCAGTATTCATCGGAGAGGGAGTATTTGGCTGTTGTCTGGGCGAAAATACTTGTACGGACAACGGTTGATAGTGGCTACTGACAATAGCGTGTTGAAGTACTTGGAAAAGAAAAAGGGACCTGAGCACGAGGCTGACTCAGTAGACTCTTAATGCGGCACCATATCGGTACGGTTAACCGTAATGCGGACGCGTGGTCATGGTTAGACGTGGCAATACTCTCGACAGAGCCGATGGCTAACGGTGCTAACTTCGGATTACTTGTAGCACATCAACTGGCAAGCCCACGTTGGGCCCTCGTAGTAATTATGCTCCAGAGGAATGGTCGGGTTAGCTTGCTATTGAGGGATAAAAACCGGTTGTAGGAAGCTACGCTATATTCTGGGCTGCGAGGATTTCACCCGATCCTCTCCCGATCGGTCCACTCGGCGATGCGCGCTTTCTCCCATTAAGACCATCCGGGGCGAATAAAAGCAGCCCACCGGTTGACGTCTCATTACTTCCCGGAAAGGGGCGTCTAATATTTGGAAGCACGTCTAAAAATGTGATATTTATCACGAGAAAGAAGTGAGCTACAAGCGCTGTCTGGCTTAGATGCCTGTAGAACCGCTGACGCGCGCTTTCCCAAAGATAAACTTAAAGTTACGGAGCCGCTGCGCTTGCCTAGGAGAGCGCCGGTCCGTGCTAGTGAGTAAACTATTGCACTTGCTTTATTCACCGTGACAGTCCGGATCGTAACAGAGGTTCTCTTCATATTTTAGAGCCGGTACGGACCGATGGAAGTGATCGTAGTGGATAGTGTTAGGTGCTTCTGGCGCCGGTGTATACCCTCTACCTTTCGTGTCGTGCCACGAGCACCGTAGCAAGTGAACGGATTGGTTATGATTCCATTAAACCGCACCGGAATTGCTAGGCCTTGCCCCAGAGGTTGCTTTCGCAGTAAAAGTTATTGTCTGCAAAGTCTTAGGCGCGATGCCATTCGAATTACACCACAAGTTCAAGTCGTGCTGGCTGTCAGATAAGTCGCCGGAGTCGCGGTTAGCGTAAGAGCGGAATCGTTCGACATCGAAAATAGAAACAGATACCCAGGCGCCGCTTTGCCAATAAAGTCGAACTCCGAGAGAACGATTTCTCTGCGCCGGATGCTTCAGCACGGTAAATGTCTGTCCCACACCAACGCCCCCACATGTTGCGGAAGCTTCTGCCCATGTTCAGGACAGAATGGAATGTTGAATCGACTCGCACCTATCCCTTGCGCGGGTTACGGGAATGGCGCGTCGCGCCGCTGCTAGCCCACAAGATGACTGGGAACGGGCGCGAAATAAAAACATCTTGCCGAGAAATATGAAATTGAAACATACATTTTGTAGCTATAATGGCTGTTTCCGGTTCCTGCTGACCATAAGCATAATGCCTTCGGTCGTCAGGTGCATTCATTATTATGTTATCACAATATACATAGCGATGGAAACATTTAGGATTACTGGTACGGTAATCCTAAGACGAAGCCGCGCTATTCACGTATGTGTCTTAACATATGACCTAGATAATCTCGCGCTGACAATGTCCTTCAAGCACTCGGTGATTCCCGGTTACATTCGTCGAATTTTCCGAAATGGGGTCATATTGATTAGCCCCAAGGCGTCGAGCCTTCGTCGCAACTAAATGCTGAACAACCGTTTTTACTGTACGAAATCTGCTATAGTGTGCAAAAAAAGGACTTCCTTCCCACTGTTCGAAGATCGCATTCACTGGTGCACAGCCGTCGAATTAGCCGGAAAGGGTAGTTTGGGTAACGGCTTCTTTTACAAAAAAAAACACTAGCACAGATATTACCCTTGCAGCCATCCACTTTGTCCATCGTCGATTAGAATAACCTTACGGCCTATTGTAGCGACGACACATTAGTACCGGCAGAATACGTATATATATATATATATATATATATATATATATATATATATATAATATGATAACGATATATGTAAGTAAAATATAAATAAAATAATAAGCTAAATATGCTCTATTTTGATCGACGGCCTTGTTCTAACACCATAATCCCATCACTGTGGAACTTCTGTTGTTTATAAGCGAAAAATTGTAACAAGCGCTTTTAGATCCTTCTTAGTAAACTAAATTAACACCAGTGAGGGATTTCTGCAAATACAAGAACACATGCGAATATGAGAGGCGATATGGCTCTCGATTTTTGCCGGGTGGATAAATATGTATGTTGGTATTGCAATCGCACACACAATTTCCTTGTTCACTAATTTTAGTGGATTTCAATGGTTTGTTAATTGTTGACAGCGGATGCCCGAAATAATCGTTTCGCCAGAGAGCGGCAGCCCCGAATACATGAATCCTTTCCAGTTCCAGCAAACACGCAATGAACTTCAGCGTCAGCCTGGACTTTGCCAAAAATTATCGGAGCTACATTTTCATTAGGTGGTACACTTCACATGCGATTGAATCCATGGCTTTATTCTATTGCACCTCAAAAAAGTTTTGCGAATCAAGATACGATCGAATTGATTATTTGGTATCGATTTGCGCAGCGCTCAAAAATTGAGCTATTTTTGCATCAAATGCTTTAAAAATGATGGATATTAACTTCCTTAGCGATATCTGAGTACTTATTTAACGGTACTTAGTCGACCACTATAAAAAGCATCTTTCTCATCGACGACTCGAGAACGAAAGCGACGAAACCATCTTTAGGCCGTTTTTTTAAGAGAACACAAGTGAAATTTTATTGGCCTGGGCAGTATTTGTCAGAGCGCATACATATCTCCATACATATACGGTATTTGATTTCTTATAGTTTCCCGTTCATGCAAGGGCCTCTAAAGCAGCAAGCACTGAAAAAATGCACGACAGAAAATTGGTTCCGATTGCAACAAGCAGTTACGATGAGGCGCTAAAAGACCGCTACAGACGAAATGTTTTCCGGTGCGGATTACGATTTTTCGTACCAATCTTCACGTTCTTGCTGCGGTTCGTTAAACCGAGTTCGGTGATCTCGACATCTGGCGCGAGACTAAATGCATCGCCGCCGTCATCACCTATGAGAGAAGTATTTGCTTGTTCTACATTGTTTGACAATGTAGTAGGTAATTTTGGGTTGCTTGTAGGTTGGAGCGCTAGGACAGCAAAGCTCCACGAACCACTAGGGGGTTGGTGTCGTGCACTAAGTCCACGTGTACAGAAAGAATAGCACGGTGGCAAACTAAGTTGAATTTAAAGTTGCCGCTATCGCCGCCGCACGAAAGCCGAGCCACGGCAGGCAAGACAAATCCCGTCGCTGGATTGTCTTCTTTCCAGTAGGGTGCCAACCGCCGAGGTTGTGCGGAGATTCTGGGCACACGGGTGCGCAGCGAACGCAGCAGCTTCCGCTGCGGCCTCGAGAATCTAAATCCCATACCCTGGGCAATTAGATGACGATTCATCGAGTGTGGCACTACCCTCTTTCGAATGTGATTACAGATCATGAAAATTTGGGATTCGTCCGACATTTCAACGGGAGGACAGTGGGAGGGGGAGGATATGAGTGTATTCACAGACAACATGAACAATCCGCCCAAGAGACAGGTTCATAGGCATATTGCCTACGAGCGGGCACGTCTGCTCCAGCCGAATCGGCGGCGGGTTAGCACAGCGCCACTATGTAAATCAAATACTTCGTGTCTGCCTGTTCAAAAACTTTCGTTTTCGAACATCGTCTGCTTCGACGTCGATATGATGTAGTTCAACGCCAGACAGCGCACTCGGCGCTTCAAAGTGGAAAATACAATTATAAATCCGTACAGAAGCTAGCAAAGGTGTGAATAACTCTTTGAACTTGCCAGAATGCTTTGAATTCGCCTGAAAACGCGCCATAATTACTCTACGCTTGGAGCCATAGCTTCCGGCATGTAATGTATGTGTCATGTAACGTATATAACGTCCGGTATATAACGCGCAAGTAGGTCCACTTACATATCGAGCAATTCTAATAGAATGGATAAAAAAATTCGTCGTTGAGTGCTGTGAAGTCACAATCAGAATGGCACTGACGACGAAGGGTTGCTTATCTACCTAAAAAAGGTGATCTTACCAAGGCGAAGGTATCCTAAATGGTGCTAAGGCACTTTAAACTGGGGCGATCAGAAGAGCTTGAAGTATACGCTAGAAGGAGTCCATGACTAAAGTTTATCGTTTATATGAAAATTCTGTGCCTAAATTTTGGATCGTATTAAACCCTAGTAGCATTAAAATACTGTCTTGCATAAGAACTGCACCGTGTCATTTTCAATATGGCGTGTAGTAGAAATGATACCTAATGCGAGAAAGATGGTGCCGAGCTGTCGTTGGAGCCGGCATAGATAGCAGCTTTACTGAATACAGATGCTAATGTATGTGAGCATCAATATAAGCGTAGTACGGTTGCCTATATAGGGGTGGTTCCCAACTATTAATACAAGGTCTGACTAATCCGCATAATATGTTGGCAGCTACCAAGGTGACACCATGTTTAGCCGACTAGTAGATCGTCTGGGCTACCGGGCAGAGATGTTGGAGCTGGCATTAATTTGAGCATCGCACGGCAAAGTGGCTGATGGTTCAGTGCGATGGTGCGAAGAGTGCAGACGAATCTGCGAAGCCCCCCTGGGAGCTGTTCAACCGCTGGGTGGGGGCTACTGAAAGCTAGGACCTTAGAAATAAACCGTACGACTCCTTGCCACGGGAAGATTTCACTAAGACCCCAAAGAGTCGTTTGAAACCTTTTTGCGGCCGCAAAAACAACGAGAAGCCGTTTCAGCAATCTAAGTAGGTATTAAACTGCCACCGCCGGATAAACTGGGGGTTGGGCCCTGAAATTCGGTGTGGTCCTAACTAACATACAAGAAACTCCGCAACCTGCTACTTTAGCTAACGTTGTTACATAAGGGGGTAGCCAGTTTCTAAACCAAATTTGTTTGAGTGTACTGATATTCAAAACCGGGGAACCTGAAAGTTGTTTCATTTGGCAGATAATCCCATATGTGAACTTTCGCGTCCAAGTTATTTCGATGTTCGATATATTCTTTTTAAAGTTTGACCGTTATAAACGACTCGAAAGGATTGAAATTATGTTATCTTCAGCCGTCGATCATAATTACACTTTCGTCCAGAAATATCAATGGCGTCAAACTGCAGCGTATTCTGGTAGGTGATCAGTGGTTAGTAACTGTTGCTGTCGCAGAAGAACGAGATTTTTCTATTTCAAAAGCTGGTAGACGGATGGCATAGCTTCTGGAAAAATCATGTACACCTTCTTCAGATCAGTCAACGCCAGTCAGCAGGGCTTGCTTATGGCAGATGAAATTTGCGTTAGTCCTGGCAAGGCAATGAATTTCGGTTTTATTTTTTCTTTACGAATGAGTGTCGCAGCCGTGAGCGCTGTTTTTGGCTCAAGTCAGTGCTGTCCTCGGGGTAAAATATTGCGCTTTTCGTGAACGAGCGGCTCGAGAAAGGCTGCCGTGAGATTTCCAGAAAGGTCTCAAGGCGCTCCAACGCGATCTCAAACCTTAGTCGTATTCTATGCAATGAGTTTGAAAACATTTCAACCACTTTATGAAAAATGAAATCCTAGATCACTTTTTTTTTAGATTAAGGGTGCCTTATTCGGAAAACTAGATTTTTTTTACCGGAGACAGTTTTTTTCCGGCGGCCATAGTGCTGGTCGATTGTTTGAAGAGACATCGTCTTACGGTATTGGGTGCTGATATGCAGCAGGAAAATGTACTAAGGTTGATCTTGTCTGCTTTGACTACTGGCTGGCCATTGACGTATTACTCGGGATTTAGGAACGCATGGCATCCGTGATGCACGATAACGCGATCTCAACGAATTCGCATTTAAAAGTTTGAAATTTGGGTATTTGATGTACCGATCTGGCCAAGAACCATCAATATACATGTGCATATTCTATGTATTACATACTAGGTAGAAAATATCTCTTTGTTTGCACTCATGCACTATTACTGTGAGCTATTTATTGGCCGAAGCAAGGAAAAGTACTTTACGTTTTGAATGATACGAAATGACCAGTAAGTTGAAAAATGGGTTTCTAGATATTTCTATAGGAATCGATTGCTGGACATTTAATTAACGAAGCGATACGATGCCATCTACATTTAATGATTATGCATTCTATAGACATGGACCTAATCGGAACCATTCTGAAACAAGTCGCCTTATGGCTTTTGAAATTTATGCGAAAATACCTGTGTTTTTCGCCTTTGGGTTACCACATGCCCTGTATTAACTTGCAAAAATGATCACGTAGGAAGGAATTCTCCATACAGTGCATAAGGAAACAGTTAGAAATAAGAGGGTTCATTGCATTTTGCCATAAGTGGTAATATTGTCCATGCTAAGTAGCTTATTGGTGTATTTCTATATGGCATGCCCAAATATACCCCGAAATTAGCGATCCTGATTACTTAAACGACTTCGTGTTAGTTCATGCTGCGGCAAACGATGCGCAATGCCTTTAGCAGGTAGCACATAGCTAAACCCATGAAACTTGTTTCTAAAAGTTAGTTTGTGAAGGACGGAGAGCCGAAAATTTATTTTGACACGTTGCAGAACACCGCGTCAAAGCTTCATTCGGGGCGTAAAGATTTTCCTAAAGACGCACACGACAAGCGATAGTCGATTGTGTGGTAACAGCTGATTCCCTGCATGAGGCAGGCAGGCAGATAGAACTAAAATCGCTCGAAGTGTTATGTTTGAAAATTTGTAGATGGCTGGCAGAAATTTTGCGGAAGTTAAGGACATTCCTCACGAGTAAGCCATGACGATCTGATTGAAATGCGTAATATTTTTACATGACTCGCCACATGCTTTACAGTCAAGTTAACATGACCGTTTTATTGGCCTGCTTGTAAAAGTATATATACGACCGTCACAGGACCAGCTTGCTGGAGCACATACTGCAGGATATATGTTGCTTGACGAAGGCGGGTCCTATTTTATCTCATTATGATGCAACAGTTATTATATTTCTCTTTCATGTCTGTTATGCGTCCAAGGTCTGGGCATAGCTAAATCAAAGCCATCTTCACCTGGATGGAAAAGGATTCAAGGAACGCGCTTCCCTCGCCTACATCCTCTCTTCCTACCTCCCTCACTTTGGCAATTTTACTTTCTTGGAGTGACGCTTGTTTTTCTACGGGTCCGTACTATCGCAACACTCTCGCGCTGCCGAGAGCATCGTACCGCGTGCACAGCATTGCACGAGGACATCGTCGTAGAGTTAGTCAATGGGTCAGTCAGAAATGGAACGGTCAGTCATAGGATAACGTTTGAATTCAAAAGCTAAAGTACTCAAAAAACTAACTGAAGCAGTGAAAAAGATTCGTGACCTCTTTAAGACTTATCACGTAAAATGAAAAGACCTATTTTGTGCCATATGCACGTAATCTGTTCATGTATGCCTCAAAATGGATGCTGCGTAGGAAAGAAAATGAAAAATAATTTGTCGGCAAACAAAGTGTATGGTTTTCAAGATATGTAATTACTGTCAGACCTAATGTATACGTACAAAATAGACGGTAACAGCTATAAGAGGGAGCAGTCGAGCGCCATTTTGTTGCATACACGGTAAGGCTTTGTGTATTGGTTACTACTAAAGAAGTTCAGCTAGGAAATTGATTATTTGTATAATTTAATCTGTCTTCAAAGTTCAAAGACTGTTACTATTTGGAAAGGTCCGTCTTATTACGAAAAATGTTTTTTCTCCCGAATAAAAGTTATTTTCCGAGTTAACTGTGAACTGTATTATTAGATTCTATAGACTTAACAATACAGCTTATATATTTGGCGGTTCTCGTTTTTTCAGACGTTGCCTTCTCCTCTAGGTCTTTAGCGATATCATCTGCCTAAAGGGACTATGGCTTGTTGTAACTGAATCTTTCTTGAATAAGATTATATTGACAATATAACTTCGATTTGTCGGTTTTCAGCTCAGTAAATCTCGTTGGACAACAACTAGATAGGATCAAGATTAACGAAGACCCTCCGATCAGGGCCGTCGTGTAGCTTACAGGTTGACTGCTTCATAGGATCATAAGAAAGGTAGTTCACATTCAATAGAGAAAATGTACAAAGCTAACACTTTTCGCCTTAATTTCCGCTGCTGCAGGATCGATCATCGTTGCTGTATTTGAACCAGATTGTCGTAAGTTATCAGAATTGAGTTTGATACGGTAACTGAATAAGGCAACACTGCCCAGAGATTATGACCTGCCGCATTGCAAATTAGACTCGAGAAGGCATCAGTTACGTGCTTCTCAAGTTAATACTTCAAAAACTTGTTGAACAGGTCACAAACAAAATGACTTAAAACAGCGACAGACACGCTTTGCAAGAAGCAAGCTGTTTTTTGAAGAAGGTGAGAACTTTATTACACAGCTGCGGTTGCGATCTTTGGTGCACCTACGATATATACACATAGATATAAGTTGACGTTGATTTGGTCAAAAGAGGGTGCAATGCACCACATAAAAATGAACCTTAATACGGTACTAGATTTACTGAAACAAGGCGGCGGGAGAATCATAGCCGGGTCTGAAGTTACCTTAGCTTCGATTGTAAAAAACATAATGGTATTGGTCAGCATCCAGCTTGCACGGAACATGTGCGAGATGTACTTAAACAAGTTCATAAGGCTCACGGGTGTTCCTAAATATAAGCAAGCGGGTGCTTTACAAATACAGTGCTCTTTGTTGAGTAACTACAACTACTCACTTAGTCGTAATGTTGTATAATGATGTAAAGTATGTTATTGCATATTTAAACATCTTGTCTATCTTGTTAACCATAGAGATGGATCAAATCCCTTGTTTACCTATTTTGGCCATTCATCAAAGTTTCATTAAAACCGTGTTATTTTTTTTTGTGTAAAAGAGCTCTTCATATTACCTCGATTGTCTGCGTCAACTATTTAAAATTCTCGAAGACTAATAACACGGTTCAATAAAAATTGGGGTAACAACGTGTTACTACTTAGTGACAGTAACGTTTTCAAAAGCAGTCGTGTTGCTCTTCTTTATCAACAGGAGCCGCGTAATATGTAACGTAAATACGTGCTTTCGTTACTAATATGTGACATTCGAAAGAGCCATAACTAAACAGTTGTAAATGTTCAATATAGCGCTGTGAATTAGCGTACATATTTCGCTTGTATTTCAGATAACTTGGCTCGTAATTAGCCGCTTTTATACATAAAAAAATCGCTGAAGACATCCGAAATCTGGTGACCCAGGAACGACCCAGCATGTCCGAAAGGTCTTTGTTACTTTAATTAGGGAAAATTGGGCGTATGGTTTCTGAAATACTGTGTTTACATACAATAATATCGTTGGTACACAAGGTGATTTAGTGCCTCTGTAATACTGAGAACGTTCATCTGTTCATAAAACCGTAGATTCATTCTTCTAATCAGTGGAGTAAAATTTTCTGTAAAGGATTTAGGGCTCTGTGTGTGTTTTTTTATAGTGCCGTAGATCGTTTGCATGGCTCTGTCGTTGGTTCACATTTCTGAAAAAAGAAAACTTTATCAAAATTATTCAGTTATATTAAATCTAATTAATATTACGTAATTAGTCAGACAAACATAATGGTTTCAGGTGCCAGGTGTACTATATCTATATATAAAAAGTACACATTATTATATAGTGCACGCTTCCGTCAAGCCATTGGGAGTCTTCGTATGAAAAATTTTGGCGCAGCCTAAATACTATTAATCTTCAATTGACCGTTTTGTTCTCTTCGTATGACTTGTATTGGGTCTCATAACGAGTTGTATGGTTTTATGTGACAATGCTCAATCAATTTCTTGAGGACAAGAACCAAGCGAGTGAGGTTGGCTGCGTTTCTAGGCAGCACTATTATATTCTAAACTTACTTTATACGAACAGTTTGTAGGCTAGCCCAGACGGGTCCAGACGTCCGCGACTACTTTTCTTTATGACGAGAACTGCGACATGCCATCCGCAAGATACTTATATGCGAATTACAAACTAGATTTATCGGTATCGTATGAAACTAGGCATAGGCCTTTTTTAAGCTTCAGATGTAAATGATTGTAAAATAATCGGAATCCATCTTATGCCGCGCCAACATATCTATTACACCAAAACGATAATTATAATGAAGCTGCGTTGTACGAATCTGCTATTGAACCTAAACCACAGAAAGGTGGCATTTTTTGGCATCTATCGAGATTCAGACAGAAACGTTGCAATTAGTTGTCGTTTCTGCGCTCCAGCAAGGCAATGTTTTTTTTTTTTTTTTATAAATGTTTTGCCGTAGGCAACAGGTTGTTGTCCCTGACCAATCACATAACTAGACTCCTTGTGTGCTCACTCCTGGTATTGACTCCTCGCCTCCGAGATCCTCTCCTGATGAACGTCGTGTTACACGAATTGAGGATGAGGAGAAGGGCGTTAACTCTGTATGCAAACAACTCCTGGACGGCCGGCCGGCCGGTCGGTCGGTTAGCCAGACGAATACGTATTCTTCTTGATGTCGTAACAAAAACGTTCTTCTCCCTAAACATTATTGGCTGCGGCTTCAGCCAGCGCCTCGGGGCGAACTTACCGTAGTGTGTAGAGAGAAAGCGGAAGATCGAAAACTTAACTTGCAAAAATAAACACGCAGAGAGAAGCCACAGGCGTACCAGGAACGAGTAACAAACAAGCAGGACACTGACGACTTGAGCATCTGTGTAAAGAGCCAAAATGTACTGCTCGAAAATTCGGCGATATTTAATGCAAAATTGACTGGGCGGAAACGTAGCGGATTTCGCCGCTAAGAGACCGGGAATGTCTGCTTAATCCTTACTACTCGTCTGAGTATAACAAAACAGGTACAGCGAGCTTACCAGCCAGGTGTCTCCTTCTCCTGTTTGCCACTAATTCATTATGCAATTTGTTGCGTTTCGGACTTCATCCTGGCGGTACAAGCACCATGGAATGGTATTATGCCAATGACAAAAGCGTCCAAAGAAGAAGCGATATCGATGCTCTAATATTTTTCTCAGAAGGTATTTCTAAGAAAAGATATTCTACTAGTATATATTGAAATTCGTGCAAGGACACGTTTTCCTCGGAACATAGTTTTGTTCAGTTGCTACATGGACAAACAGGGTTTTTGCCATTTTTGGTACCGAACCTTTATAAAGAAATGTATATAGGATTCTTTTCGATCGTCGAGGTCTACCGACTTGTAGTCAAAAATACCTCCTTTCACACATAAGCCTCGATGAAAGTATTTGACTGCCGATTTTTTACAAACATTTTTACTATGATATTAGCCTCTATAACTTTCCTACGGAACATGCATAAAAAATTCAGAAAATATACCATAGAACAGCCAATCTGAGAGAGACCTTCGTAGTCGGACGAACAATACCAACTAACGAGATGTGATTTGCATTACACATAGCCAAATACAAATATACAATTGTCAACTTCTGAAATTCCAGTATTCCGTTGCAATTATCTTATTGCGGTCATGTACTTTGCCTGATCCAGTTAGTCTATCAGTGACATTTACCCTACCGTAATTGTTCTGCTCCACGTGTCCTGTACTCCTATCGGAATGTCTTTGCAGTCCTGCTGTCATGCTACACTTATTAGCCTAATTCAATAATCGATTCCTGTTGTGCCTAATTCGTTAGCTCTATGTATTGTTGCATTCATCCCGTCTTTTAATGTCTTTCGAATTTCAATTAATTCCACCACTCGGGTATGTGTTCATTCAGCTGTGAAATATGGATCATATGGTATGGAATGGTTTAAAAGTAATTTGCCATTTTGCGAACCAACTAAAACAATGCAGCTCGACCTTATGGACGGCAAATTGCTTCCCGAGGAAGATTACTTGAAAGATAATGGACCGATATTTAACTTACACCTAGTAATTGATGCTAAAACTAGAAAAAGCCGGCGGCAAATAGCGACGACACAACCCAAGTTTGCAAGCCAAAAACTCTAAAAATACAAACTATACATTTCTAAGAAAAGACCGTTAATCAAGTCAGTCTGCGGCCGACTGAACAGACGTTGCGATCGATGGTATCGATAACGGACATATATAAAATACGTCTGATATATAGCATATTTTTTTTATCATAACTTAGTAGATGCATAATTAAATAACAATGCGACGAAGTAATAATTTATATATAAAGACGCCATTTAACTGATCAGTACCTTGAGTAATAATAGCAGCCGAGAATGCTGGGGTTATTGATATAGGCCTTAACGTACAGCCGCGTTACGCACTTATGTGCCTCAACGTATGCCTATAACTGTCTGTCCAACTCAGCTAGTTCTTGTCGATGCTTTATTCACTCGATGATTATAGATAGACACTCCTCTAGTATTTAGTATAACAAGATCATGCAGTAATCCCCAATGTTGCCGAGCCGTTGTTGTAGCTCTAAGACGTCTGCTCTATTTATTGAAATTGTAACTTCGCCCTCGGGTGCTGGAACCACCTTCGTTGAGGCACCTCAACATCTCCTGTAAAGTTGAGATATAGTAGTTTCTCCTCTCGAACCCTCTATCCCCAAATATAACATCACACATCTCAGCCTTGCAGGGTAGCCGGCTAGTTCGTCTATCCCCCCCCCCCCCCCCCATTTGCATGGCCGTCCAGGTACTACGATTTGCTCTCCCTTGCCTCTAACAAACACGGTGATGACGTTCGTATTTCTGCTATTTCTAATATCCTAATTGTTAGAAATTCGTTCAAAAAAATACTCAAAACGCACCTTCGCCCCGTTGTTCGATACGAACGATGGAGTGCTCATACCATACAGTCAGAAATATCACTTTTAGATATAGGTATATAGACTGAATTTATGGTCAGCTCGTCAAGATCTATTGATTACCACCAAGAAAAAACGTCCTTAATTTAAGCTTCCATTTCATGAATAATTTCAAGGTTAACTCACTTTAGAGTCGACTCATCTACAGATTTTCCCCCAAGGCTTTAGTGTTTCTTATTTTTTTAATAATAGCAGGTAGTTACATATTCTACAATATATATATATATATATATATATATTGTTTTTTTTTAGAAGCTTAGAAATAATACATTTGCTCGAATTTTGGCGCTATCATGCGATCTATGTTTCTGGTAAGATTGAGTGAGAGTATATGTTGAGTGTTCTGACATTTTTCTCCAATGGAGCAACGAATGTGCATTAGGTTTTTTTGTATGAAAAATAAAATTAATCGCACAGACACTCTACACAGATGACACAGAATCCCTATGGAAACCTGATACTGAGTAAAGGTCAAGCAAATAAGAGGTTTCTTTCGAGAACAGCGGACGAAGACGTGATGCTCATCGCGATCTTCTTCGGAATCGCTCGCTGTGAGCTCATGCTGTCCGGCTCCACGGTCACCAACGAGTATTATCAAAAAGATCTCACCGCGGAAGACTGGGACTGAGCCACGGTCCTAAGTCTTCCACTACGACAATCCGTCGCTTCACGCTTCACTAGGCGTATAGCAGTAGTTGCTAAAAAACTCGACGTGTGTGATGCATTAACACTTTACACCTGGTTCTTTCTCTATTTAGAAAACTAAAGAAGGGCCTGGAAGGAAGCGTTTATACACGATAGAAAAACTGCTAACCGGGATAAGGGCAATCCCAACTATTGAATCTAAAGAGCATTTTAAAGAGCAAAAAAGGTAGCGGCGGTAAAAATGACTTTAAAAAATTAATTAACTAAATTCTGACGATTAAGTGAAAAATTATCAGTCAGAACAAAGAATTATAGCTGTTTCATTTTATATATCGATTCTCTTTCCGGGACGTCACTGAAGCTGAACGGTGTTTTATATATATTTTTTTTTATAATTAATTGAATGAAGATATAATGAACGTTCAGGCATAATTTAGTTTCGTTACATATTACATTGAAGAAGAACTCAAATGGTTTGCTGGCACATTGTTTCTAAGGTGTTACTAAAGATTAGGCATGTTTTTCATCGTTTTTTCGGCCCTTTTTAAACAAATATTTAAAAAGCTATAATGAGTGTGGCTAAAGAACTTTGAATTTTTAACTAAACTAAACTCTCTGGATTTTTTCATGAAAAGCAATTCCACATTAGCTAACTTTAACTAGTAACTCAGTTGACATTTATGAGAGACTTGTTTATACTTGTTAAGCCAAAACAACTTTCACGCTGCTCGTATGTAAGCATGCGTGACGCTGGGGGCCACTTTGCTGTTTGCAGACGATAATGCAGCCCTGTTCTGAAAAACGAAATTAAAACGAATACGCTGTGGTCGATTTACTAACAGTCAAATAAACATTACGCTCTATCTAAATAGCAAATTTTTCCTTCTAGAGAGAGAA